GCCGCCGCCGCCGCCACGGCCGCCGCGCATCCGTCGCGGGGCCAGCAAAAGCAGCAGCGCCGCCCCAAGCAGCGAGCGAGGAGCATCGTGCGACCCGGCGGCTCGAGCGCTCGGAACAGCGCGCTGCAGCCGGGCGCGTCTTAATGCCGCGCCTGCCCACGGCCCGCCGGCCTCCTTCCGCGCCAGGTGTAGCCAGCCCGGCTGGAAAGTCGCCAGCCGGCAGGGTGTGGCTGCGGGCTGCCAAAAGCCGACCGGCGTTTCTCCACCGCTCTTCCCTTTTCTCCTGGGAAAGTGAGCAAGCCAACCCCTTCTAGCAAGGAGATCCACTCCCATTGAGTTCAAAAGCTGAAGTTTTCAGTGGAGACGCGCGGGGAGGGGTCGAACTGCACGAAGTGACTGCCTTCCTGGGATACAGGAATAGGACTTCTTGAACCTCGGGGTAACCCGTTGAGAGCAAGGCAGGGGTAGCTGAAAGAACGCCGATGTAAGACCCAAGACTCCCGATTCAAAAGCCGTGCCCAATCTTGCCTGTCTCCCGGAGTTGTGGCCTGGGTGTGGGGGTGGTGGGGAGTGATGGTGATGTTGGTGCCTCCTAAGCTTGCTTTTTGAAAGAGAAGACCCCTTACAGTACTCAGCTTTTTGGAACTTGTTAATAATTATAATCACAATAATCATAGTTATTATGGTCATCTATAATCATAACTATGATCAATAACTGATCACGATGATCATAGATGATGATCCTATATTTCGACTTTTTCACCCTCATTGCAAGGATGGATCACGAACACAGTCTGCAGTACAGTGGGCTTCTATTGATAAGTAAATAAATAGAGGTTAATGCTTTCCAAAAATTCCAGGCATGCAGAATTTTATTTCATTTGTTTTCTTTGAATTGAAGAGCCTTTTAAAAGCTGCTATCCAATTTCAGTTTATCTTGCTGCACTGAAAGACACCCGGAGGCTCAAATCCTGTATGCTTTACTGCTTCACCAGTTGGATTTCTTCCTAACACAAAGCTGTGAAATATATGGGTGGGGGGAGAGAGAGTGGAGTGAGAAGCCTCACCCTGAGCCCTATGTGCTTGCTTGCGGTTTTATGCGCAATTAGTGGGAATAAATCGCTGACATGTCTAAGGTGAATCCTGCAGGATGATTAGAGATAAGATATCTAACCACAAAAGTGAAGTGTAAGGTGAATAAGTTCTTAAGATTCTCCCCTTCCTTGTGGCATTTTTTCATGCAATGTCTTCTCCTCTCTCCTTGCAACAGCCTGAAGTCAGTTTTGAAAACCAATCTCCTTGCTTCTCCACCTTTCATAGCAGCCTGCCTTTTCCCTGGCAAGGAGATGACAATAACACTTTCCCAGCTGAATTCCTGCATTCCAGTATTTGTGAAAAAAACAGGTGCAATGCCAGGTTCACCAAAGTGGCAACTGTATTCTGCAATGAATCTTTCCTCTGAGAGAGTGCGTCAGCCTGTATCAATAGCACACTTTTAAAGCAAACGATTCCAAATTAATTCAGTGGGGCTTGAGACAACCTATATAAGTTAGTATTGCCATGCTGTGGCTCTGTTCACACAGATTCTAGTTCATGATTGCTGGGCATGAGGGCACTGATAGCACTACTGTTAATTCAAATCTCCTTCGGTTCCACTCTTGGGGAACTTCACTGACACATTAATGTAGCTGTTTTTGGCAGAAATACAGACGTTCTTTGCCACTGCCCTCTTCCATGATCTTTTTCTGACTTCCCAGTCTAGTCTCCAGCCCTGGAATTTCCTGATAGTCTTCCACCCATGGATTAACCAGGTCTGACCTGTTTAATTTTACAAGATGGGCCAAGATCAGTTAGTTGCTGCCTTCCAGACTTTCATTTTTTAGGCAAGCTACAAAGTGCTAGTGCCAGACACTAGCAAAATATTTACCTATCTGGACCCCAGAGAAATGGCGGGGCGGGGGTACAGACCAATGTTTTGTTTGGAAGCATGCCCAGTTGCCCAAGACATAAACCCAAAAGTAGGTTGGGGTAATAGCATCCTATAAGATTGAGACGGATGATGCCAGTGATCCCCCCACCTTTACCTTCTGATAAACTGGGTATTCTGTGATGGCCCATGCCCACCGTAGCAACCACTCTGTGAGCGAGCCTGCCGTGGAAGCTATTTTGCAGCAACAGCAACCTCATGCTATCGAAATTCCCTTTCTTCCCTCCAGCTCAAAAGTAAGGCCTACCAATGTTCTAACCATATTGTTTGCTCTCTCCAAAAATCAGGGAATGAAAACCAGGGGTTCATCAGCTCTGTCCATTCTGGGGGCTGCCGGGCAGGCACACAAGTCTGGTAAAGCTACTTTTCAAAACCAACCCAAGTGATGGATATGGTTATTATTATTCTTTTTGTAACAATGGGCCAAGAAGGGAAATAGCTGGGCAATTGGATTACACAACCGAGTTTTAACCATTCCAAACATTCTGCCTGGATTGAAAATGAAGTAAGAATAGGAGGGGGCAGAGAGAAATGAAGACAGCCCATCTTCAAGTCCCAAGGAACAGCGGGAGGAAAACAAACAGGCCTTGGCCAGGAAATTGTTGGCTGATTGCAGGCTTTTTGTTTGTTTATAAATGAAACAGTTCTGAAAATATTCCCAGAGAGTTAGATTAACTCAGAGGGAAGGGAGGTAGAGCGCAGTTGTTAAACTTAGCCTGATCTACTTTACAGGGTTGCAGCGAGGATAAAATTAGGCTACCAGATTTGGGCTGCAAAAATCCAGGCAACCGGGGGGTGGGGGGCAGGTAAAATGGGATGACTCTCCCAACCCCCTCCTCCATATATCTTAGCCTCCTGGGCAGAAGGGCAAGCTATCTTAATTAGTTGCTGATGAGGTCACACATTGTCCAAAACCAAGTTTTGTTTACACATAATTTATTCAATAAAATGCAACTGGCTAGGTTTGTACAACACACTTAAGTTACAAACTAGAGCTTCCAAACCACATTGGCTGGGTTTGCACACAACACATGAAGCCAAAACAAAGCAGACCACAGTATGGCTTATTATCCGGACCTGGTGCTCAAAATGGTTGGCACAATCAGATGTGTTACACAAACCAATTTGATGACTAGGCTGCCTTCTTTGGTGGTACAGGACGTGGTGAACCCAGACAACATAGTTAATTTGGGGCTCTGTGTGTAGTGTAGACCCGGGGATTAGGTTAGTTCAGTCAACTGCAGTTTAGTTCCTGTATAACTAACAGGAGGGCAGCTCGGAGGGCAAATGTTGCCCCTGGCATCCCATTTACAGCCCTGGAGCCCCACTGAAGTAGGGAAGGCTGAAGATTTGGGATTTCTGAGTACTTTTTGTGGAGGTTCGGGATTGGGAAGGGAAGCCGTGCCATTAACCTTGCAGAGGTTTACAACTCTCCCTGTGCTCCTTAAAAATGCCAAACATTGGGAAAATTGATTTCCCAGGGGTTCTTCCAAGATAAGAGAATACAAAAATAAGGACAGTATCTTAACCCTCTGCAAGCCTCTTGCTTCCACCAGGAAAAAGGGCCGAAACTCTCAGTCCCACCCACGCCCTCTAAAACTCCTAGCCAAGACATGAAAGTAAAATGCAGCTGCCCAGGCTGGAGGTTACCTGCCTCTTCTAAACAAAAATTTAGGACAAAGTCATGCAGTTCAGTGCCCTCTTCTACATCCTGACTTGAGGTTGACAGCTTGCCTGGGCACATTGACTGTTTAAGCCGCATTGAATTGGTGTTTCCTAAATCACCCTGCTACAGGTGCAAGAGGAAATAAGGTGCCCCTGAGCATGTGCAAAGAACAGCTACTTCAGCATTCATAAAGTGTGCCAAGTGCCTAGCCAGCTTCTGTGACTTCACCAACCACTTGATCTGTAGAGCCCAGATGAGGTGAAGCTCTACAGAAGGGAGAGAAGCCTGCTTTTTTCTCTGTATCTGGCTGCAGCTCAGGAAATAGGGATTTTCCAAAGGATGGCAGTCCTGCTAGTCAGTAAATTCTATCCAACCCCAGAGAGATGGGATGCAACGGGTGAGCTCCAACATGGGCATGCCAACTTAGTAGAAAAAAGTCCAGTGCATTGTTCCTGAGCCACTGAAAGAGATCTCTGGCTTTCCAGAAATCAGTGGATGGAGCTAACTGAAGGCTCAATGCTGCAGATCAAGGCACTGATCCTGAGGCTGGCTCAGAAGCTGCTAGCCTGGTTGCCAGATTGGGTCACAGAACACGCTGACCCATAATGTGCTGTGTTTGGTTTATGCTTGGCATGTCTTCTGAACCCAGCGATCAGGGGTTCCAAATTGGCTTCTGGCTTGACACGCCATATTCATTTAGTTGTTCCAGTGTTTTTCAACCTTGGTAACTTCAAGATGTGTGGACTTCAACTCCCAGAAAGCCTCATGCTGGCTGGGGAATTCTGGGAGTTGAAGTCCTCACATCTTAAAGTTGCCACGGTTGAAAAAGACTGAGTTATTCTAGAGGCAGTTTTGCTGGCTGGCCCTGGCCCTATGGTTGCACAAAAGGGGGCAAACTGCGGCTCTCAAAGAGATGCACATTTAAGAACATGTTTTTGAATGAACTGGGCCACCTTGGCTAGGATTTACAAGACTTTATGGCCATCATTAGAAGATCACCGCAGGCTGGGCCACAAGTAATGCTATGCCATAATGTGGCTTGTTTGCTTTTGGCCTAGTTGGCTTTGGAAACTCAGCCAAGTCTGGCTTGTGCAATAAACCATATTGGCCTAAT